AAGATTGTTGATTGGATAATTATCAAAGATGCCGGCACAGCTGTACGCGTGTTCATCTAACACGTGAATTAAAATAAGATTTTGCGTGTATGATAGGTCTATTATTATTTTCAGGTACCGTAACGGTATCAAAATATGAGTCCCTATAGAAATGTCAATTTCATAGTCAAGAAATACTTATGTTCACTTTCGTGCATTCTGGCTTTGATGTAATTAAACAATGGCAGACTCGAGAATCTCCGCAATTCGGCTCGTTGGTTGTTCTCATTTTTTCGACCCATGTTGATAAGAGGATTTTAAACAATAATATCCAAGATGCATTCCTTACTTTGCATGCCGTATGAAGAAGCGACAGTAATAGTCCAGGCAAGATAGCAAAAGTGTGGGCAGTTGCTGCAATAGAAATGCCGACCACGGTTTATGGTCAGTTTAGACGTATATTATGACCCAAAAAAAGTCCCAGTCCGAAATCCGTGCCCAAATGGGTCAAATTGGCCAAAATCCAAAATGGCCACCGCTTTTGGCTTGTAAATTCCAATTTTCACCCAATTATCACAATATGATCGAGTTTGGTATCAAAATATGCGTTTTCGGGGTAACTGAATCCATTTCCATAAACATTTTTGTGATAAGTGTTACCGCTGAGTCAATAATGGGGGTTATTCAAGATGGTGGTCAGTTTTGGCGGGAAAATTCAAATTTTACTTAAGGATCAAGTTTGGTGTCAAAATATATGTTTTCGAGGTAGCTGAATCTATTTTTGTACATATTTTAGTGATTAAGTGATTCCATGTGTCAATATAGGAGAAATTCCAATTTGGGATTTAGATTTCCGATTAGGGATTGGAGATTAATGATACTCCTACCTTAGATCTAATACAATGACTTTCATCCAGTATCAACTAAATTTCATTTGGAGTGTCTTCCAGTTCACTGCTGTAGCGGCATAGACGTATGTCGACTGGGGCCACTGTCAGGTCACTGCAGAAGCTGGTCGTGCCTTTTGAAACACGTGGCACAAAATGATTCAGATGTTGAGACACAGATGGATACAGTATCGCCTGTTTGTCAGATATGCAGTGAACCATTTAATAATGAATAACCCATAGTTATTGGTCAATGTTTTAAGGTTAATGAAGTGGAGGAGTCTGTATCAAGGTCTAGAGGGTCCGCGGTGCCAAAATTCATTTTTGCGGACCGTTGTCTTTTACATGGTCTGTAGGAAAGACTAGTAGACGGTCCATTACAACCTGCGGTGACCGCTGTTACAACAGTAAACAGTAAAACTAGCAATGCCTATTTTTGGACAAGCCAAGACAGGACAAATGACGACTGGACATTAATCTAGTTGTATTTAATAAATCAGCATTGAGGCTGGTGTCCCTAAATAGATGACACTTATTAATTACTTGCACATCTAACTTGTTTATAAAACATCTAGCAGTGAAATTGTTCTTCACTCTGTGTAACCTAAGCAAAAAATCTAATTGCAGAGGCATGCTAGCCAGGAAGTCAACTGCCTACCCTGCCCTCATAAATGCAAAAACAAAAGAAACTCGAATCCGATGAGATTTTCTAACAAGGTATATGGGAGGGAGCGGGGTGGCTATGTGCCCTCTCTTCCGAAAATGTGCCATCAAATATTGTGCCCCCTTTTTCTGCTGCCCTTCCCTTGTTCCAACTAACTCCAGAGATACTCCAATGTCCTTTTTCGATTGATGATGTAAGGGCCCCATACAAGCTCAATCAGACCATGATTTCCACGGATGACTTCCAGAATAGATTTCACAGACGGATTAATAGTTCCATAATATTCAGAATCAACTAATTTGTCTTAGTTTTATTTATTTATTTAAATGAATTTAGGAAAATTGCAACACGGGCGACGGGAACGTTTTTGCCGGTTCGCATACTCAGGGCCAATACGCTAACTGTCACAACGAACTCTAATGACATTTAATCTGTAACCAGTAACTTCCTTAGCCTGGCTTAAAGTGTATTTTGATCGTCGTCTCGTTCTTGGGGTTGTCAGTCTACTTTCAATTCTACCTCCCTACCCCTATCCTCATTAGAGAACAATCGAATGAAACTTGGCAGGTACCCTTTGTAAGGAATACCAGTCCCTTTTGGTGCTTGTTTTTCTTTATTCACAGGTCGTTTAGTTCTGTAGCTAACTATGTTCATGTTCGGATCTTTGTGACTTAATCATAATCCCTTAACCAAGTGTCAATGTATGGTATGTCATGATATATACGTCAAATCGCTTCTACCATGTGCCACAGAACTCAAATTATCCCGATCCTACCCCCTCCCCCCTAAAGTGCCCTAACTTTGGTCTGCCTACCATGACTTAGTCATGACTTTACGTAAGTTTTATTCTGTCCTAAATTCTCTGCCATTGAAATTGGTATCTCCGCTCGTTATTGAACGTAAGCCAGGGATCTTAATCGGCTCATTATTGTTGGCCTCCAATACCGTTATCTTTCCGTCATTTTGGGAATGATGATGGGCAGTTCACTACATACATTATCTGACAAACAGGCGATATTGTATCCATCTGTGTCTCAACATTTGAATCATTTTGTGAAATAAATTCGCCACATGCTTCAATTGGTTTGGCCATCTTGGCTCAATTTTCGAGGTTGGTGATTGAAATCGGACACGCCCACGACACTGCGTCCACAGTGGGCTGAGAGCGACCCATTTCGTCATGCCTGCTACGCTGCTTCCATAGTAAGCAGTGGTCGACCAGAGCGTCTAAATGAAATTTAGTTGATGGTTGATGAATGCCATCGTATTATATCTGAGGCGGACTCGACCACCCATAATCCCCAAATCTCCAATGGGATTTCCACATATTTTGACCCAGGGGAACCAGTTAAATTACCAAGATGACAAAGTGTGTCGAAAATGAGATCAGCTGCCTCCAAAACATATATTTTGACACCAAATGTGGTAATTTTGTAAAATTCGAATTTTCCCGCCAAAACTAACCGCCATCTGGAATTATTTCCCAATATTGACTCCGCGGTATAACAAATCACCAAATGTGTATGGAAATAGATCCAGCTACCCCGAAAGGATATATTTTGATACTAAACTCGATCATATTATGGTAAGTGGATAAAAATTGGCATTTTACAGTCAAAACCCGTGGCCATTTTGGATTTTTGCCAATTTGACCCATTTGGGCACGGATTTCGGACTGGGACTTTTTTTTGGTGATAATATACGTCTAGACCGACCATAAAACGTGGTCGGCATTTCTATTGCAGCAACTGCCCGGAATGGTGCGAAATTGAGTTAAAATGCCTGGACTATAAAGAGAATTCATCTATCAATAAAATTCTCTTCGAAAAGAAAATTATTGGCCAATTTGATTATTTCCATTTAAGGCCTATAAATTATTTTTTTAAAGATAATATGAGATATCAAATAATCACCACTTGGATTAATTATTTGGGGTAAATAAGGAGTTGGTTTGTTCTCATTTTCCCAGCAGATTAACCCCACTAATTAAGCGGATTAGGGATAAGCTATAGATTAGTGAGTTATACTCTGTTTTAATTATTGCATGAACAGTTCAATTTTACCTATGAAATGTGTGAACTCTAAATCACAGTCTGATTTTTCGTTCATATGTCAGTTTAATTTTATACTGTGTATTAAATATTCCAAAATGGCTAATGCACAGGTAAATGTTAGGTTCATTCCAAACTCGAGAGGTACTCGAAGCCTAGTTTATGATAATTATAAGTTTAGTGTTAAGACAAGAAGAAGAGCCCCCATTAACTGTAGGTGTACTGTTCGTGAATGCCCTGCTACTTGGAATACCACAGAAACATCCATAATCATCAAGCTGATCCAACCAAATTAAAAGTTGACATGTTTTTATCAGCAATGAAAGAATCGGTTCAAGCAGATTCTAAGCCAATTCCAGCAGTTTATCAAGAAGACTTTATATGAATATGTAAATTCGATATCACATTTAGTCGGATTTTAAATATACATGTACAATACTAAATTTGTTAATAAATATATATGTACATGCTAAATTTGTTAATAAAAAAAACTTTTATGTAAAGTGGTTAATATTGATATGAAAAAGACTATAGTTTTAACACCATTGTTACCCTAATTAGTACTGGTCCAATGATTTTACCTGGAAAACAATAGCTGCTGGGAAAGTGAGAACACCCCAAGGAGTTGTCGACGGCTTTATCATTGACCCGTGACAGTTGATTAGTATTACTCAATGACACCCACCCGCATGTCAATTAATTTAGATAATCAGCCACTTGGTTTGGATTAACACTCAACGGCAATCTATATATACGATCAGAATTAATTTTTTTCTGTCACTTATCAGAGTGAATCGCATGTAGGTACCCAAAAACATTATTGCCAAAACCAAAAATTTATCGCCCGCTCAAGTCAGCCACGTAACCATAATGCTATTCACTCGGTGTCTGGGCCAAAAAGCAAACAAGTTGTGTAGACAGCATAGCAACAAGCGGAGGAGGTTTATATTTGTTAGGGGTTTTAAAACTCGATTGTATCCGTTCAAAATCAATTTATCGACATTAATTTGATCATATTTGTAAACTAGAGATTCTCCGCTTTACAACGATGCCAATTATTATGCAAGAGGAATCACCGGTTGTCCCGCAGCGAGCGAAGAAAAATAACTAATTTCGCCGAGAATTTTAAGAAATAGGACATATTTAAGAATACGGTACTCTTACAAAACGTTCAAATAAAGGTGTTCTAAAATCTTTTATTGCTATTTTGATCTTTTGTGTCGATAGATAGTATATTTATACTCATTTTTGTGAAAATCTCAATTTCAATCAAAATCAATATTTTCACTTATTTTGTCTCTAGTCCAAAATTAGATTTTGCGTATTCCGACTCACTTTGATATACATGGTCACATATATTGACCTTAAGTTAAAATGTCATTGTGTTTGAAAATGATGAGGATGTTGTTAGCTATATACCTGGTTTTATGAAAGATGGAGTAAGACTTTTCTTTTCTTGTAGATTTTGTGATGATCGTTTTAAATAACCCTTATCACTGTTACTAAGATAACTTTTATTATAAAATCTACCAAAATTCACTTCAGTTTTTCTTTCTAATGATCTATTATCCTGAAAGTATATAATCAGTATTAAATCTTATGTAGGCTATCGTCCATTAATAATCACATCAACATCAAATTATTGACTCAAATAGCATGATATGTTATTCATTCCTGAGTATCAACCACTGAACCTTGCATTGACATCTTAGCCTGTACATTACTCATACGTTAGGTAATGCCAACTCTCTTTGAAGTATATTTTCAAGACAGTTTGCATTTGTTTCCAATCGATGATTATGTATTTAGGATTGCGACCATCTGTGAAAAATATCTTTACATGAAAATCAACAGTCCATCTGTTCAGAGACAATTTGTATATCTGGGATGATAAGAGAATATAGATAATAGTGAATAAGATTAATTATAGCACAGAGAAGTGATTGATGTAGATTTAACAGTATATTACATGTTGATCCTGATCCTGATCCTGATCTGTATTGTAATCTTCATCATCGGTTTCATCTTCAGATCCTGATCCAGAATCAATACCTATAAATAAAACACAACGTATGCACTTAAATAATGCACTTAAATAATCTGTATAAAATATTATTTAAATCAAAGAAACACATAGTAAACAATAGTTATATTAGTAGGAACACAAATGAAAATTATTTGTTTGTACGTTCTTCAGGCTTTACGTCCGCTACCACCTTGGTTGATATTGCAGAAAATTACTGTATGTGAAATAGCTTTATTTAACCTCCGTTACTGACAGTCTAGATCTTATAAACCAAGTGATCAAATAACTGTCATTTACTTTGGAACATTTCTCTTTCTCTATAACAAGATGTGGATTATAATACGTACATTTACTGTGTATATTACATGATGTGGATTAAATCACTAGGGACCGGGTATCATTCAGATTTAATGAAAAAAGGAAAGAAACTGAGCTTACCATCTATAATCTAATACACATAATCAGTTAATAGATTGCCATGCAAAAAGTATTAAATACCATCAAGATTCATCAATTTTGTTAAAATTATTATTCTTATTATTAGGCTTTCAGACTTTACTATTATTTTTACTAAAATTATTATTATTATTATTTTTTTACGCGGGAGCCTATTTCTCCATGATCGGAAACAGATATCGATCTGAAACCAAATTTTCTATCAGGAAAACTACTTTTGAAACTTCTGCGCATACTGGAAGTGACCGAACTTTGTACTTTGAATCGGAATTGAAAATCGGCCATAGTTTCGTCAATTCTTTACCTATTCTTAAACAAATGATATTTTCGGAAACCCTGAATCTTTTCCGAGACAATGGCTATCTCACATTTTTCAATTTCGAATATTCGTCTATGACTTCTATCGTTCGAAAATTGAAAATAGGTTGTTTATGAGACAATTTTTGTTATTATTCAAATTTTTTAAATTTGACCTGAGGTCCATCCGGTTCCAATAATATAAGTTTCACTCAGAGTTTTTTCGAACTCTGCCCATTTTATAACCCTTATATTTTTTTGAAAGGATTACTCGATGTTTCTGAAATTCCTGGAACATAAAGCCATATATTCAGACCATCGGATAAAGCAATTTCAACCACAATCCGTAAACCGGAAGTAGTCGAAATAAAATGGAAAAATGGGTGTGTTGGGTAAAAACACGATTTCTCCGTCCGACATTAACGGATTAAACAAATTAAGGTATCATTGGGTCGGGCGGTGATTGGACCACTGAATGATACACAATTCATACAGATACGATGAGCAGGAAGCAAAATATGGCACGCTGAAAATCAAGTATTTTCTGATTTGGAGCGTTTTTGGATGCCTGTATCTCGAAAACGGCTGAAGCGATTTTCCTTCAACTTTCCCTATCGAGAGTCCCTTCAGTAGTCTTTTGCATGAAGTCCTCCAATAAGACTTTGAAATGTCTGGAATAGGATAAAAAAAGGGACTGAAAATCGAAAAAAGTCGAAAATCGTGAAATTTTGGAAAATGCTATATTATTTTATTATTTAATCAGATTTTTACGAAAAGGTTACACATTCAGAGAGCTGACCTAATTATGATTCTAACAATGTATAATATGTATTGAGTTATTGAAATTTAATTTTCGATATTTTGACATTTTTGAATTTTTGGCATTTTTGAACATAGGATTTCTCAGGGCCATTTATCTCATCAGATAATGTTATATATCATTACAGAGCCCTGTGGCTATCTAATTGCCCAAATTAATTATTATCAATTATTATTAATTGAGAGGCCTTTTTCTCAAACACAACAACTATGTTTTTTCTTAAACTTTTTTTACTCAAGAGTCCTATGGGTGGACTATGGCGTGAGTCCAAAAATAAAAGCATTGAAATAACATAAGTTGTCCAAAAAGAGCCTCAATCTTAGAAAAAAGTTGAAAAATCCTTAAATTACTGAAAATGATCTTCTAATTTTCTTTCTTTGGAAAACAGCTGAATGGATTATTCTGAAACTTCTTACACAGAAGGTAAGGTCACCAAACAACTTGTTAAAGCTATCCCGACAATGATCCAAAAACCGGAAGTAGTCGAAAAAATATCCGATATTTTGAGAAAAAAAACGTAAAAAGTAAAAAAATGGTGATCTTGCGAAAAAAGTGATTACTATGCCAGATTTCACCGAATCAAAACAACTAAAGTGTCATTGGATAGTTCGAACAATGGACGATCTTATGACATCTAAATGGTAAAAAATTCGCGGGTTAGGCAATATATAATGGAACGCTAAACATCTATTATTTTCCTTTTTGGAGCCTATTCAGACGCTTTTATTTCAAAAACTTCTCTTATTTCCTTTCTTAAACTTCTGTTACTTAGAGTCCTAACGGTGGTCTATGGTGTGAATCCCAATTTAAAAGCCTCAATATAGTATAAATGGTCCAAAAGGGCCACAATCTTTGAAAAAAGTCGAAAAATCTGCTTCTAATGGTATAAGGGAGGTAAAACTGTCCAATGGATCTTTATGAAACTTCTGGTACAGGAAGTTAAGTTCCCATACCACTTGTTAAATCTATCCCGATAATGGAGATTTTAAATTTTCAAATTTGACCTACATTTTTGGGTACTTGAAGGCAATCCGATTCCAGTAATATAACTTTCATTCAGAGTTATCACCCTTTATTTTTCGATTTTTTCGAATTTTCTGCCCATTTTGTGAGCCCGAGTTTCTTTTTATGGCCGATTCGACGTTTCTGAAACTTCTGGAACAGGAAGTTATAGTCCAAATTCAACTGATAAAGCTATTTCGACAAGGATCCTTAAACCGGAAGTGGTCGAAAAATTGTCCGATATTTTGAAGAAAACGCAAAAAATGGGTGCTTTTGGGAAAAACATTATTTCTCCACCCGATATCAACGGATTAAAGAAATTAAGGTATCGGTGGGTAGCCCGGGGATTTGAATATCATATGATACCAATTTCACACGAATCCTATGAGAGGGCAGCAAAATATGACATGCTGAAAATCAAGTATTTTCTGATTTGGAGCGTTTTTGGAAGCCTATATCTCGAAAACTGCTTAAAGGATTTTTCTTAAACTTTCCCTATCGAGAGTCCCCCCGGAAGTCGTGTGCATGAATCCATCCAATAAGACTTTGAATTGTCTGGAATAGGTAAAATAACGGACTGAAAATCAAAAAAAGGTGAAAAATCGTCAAATTTTAGAAAATGCTCTATTATTTCTTTATTTTAACAGATTTTCAATAAAAAGTTATACATTCATATAGCTGTCCTAATTACGATTCTAACGGTGTATAATATGTATTGAGTTATTGAAATTTAATTTTCGATATTTTGACATTTTGATATTTTTGACACTTTTGAACATAGGATTTCCCAGGGGCATTTTATCTGATCAGACAATGTAATATTTCATTACATAGCCCTGTGGATATTTGATAAGCCAATCCGGTTATTAAAACTATCTCCATACCGGAAGTATTCAAAAAATGAAGAAAAAAGGTTAAAAAAAATAGCGCTCTTGCGAAAAACTTGATTTCTTCGTCAGATGTTAGCGGACCAAACGAACTAAAGTATCGCTGGATAGCCCCATTAATGGACTATCATATGACATCTGAATGATACGATTTAGATGGCGAGAAAATAAATTATGGTACGCCGAAAATCTAGTATTTTCCGTTTTGAAGCATTTTGAGACGGCATTTTCTCGATAACGAAAACTAAGATTTTTCTTAAACCTTTTTTTACTCAGAGTCCTATCGATGGACTCTAGCGTCAGTCCAAAAATAAAAGCATTGAAATAATATAAGTGGTCGAAAAAGAGCCTCAATCTTGGAAAAAAGTTGAAAAATCCTTAAATTACTGAAAATGCTCTTCTATTTTTCTTTGTTTGGAAAATCTATCCTGATAATGATCCGTAAACAGGAAGTAGTCAAAAATATATTCGATATATAAAAAAAAAGACCGGATCAAAACATCTAAAGTATCTTTTGGTAGCTCGATAAATGGGCTATTGTATGACACACTTCCTGTCTGATTCCTGAAAGACGGTTCAGTGCTGCTTGCAGGTCTAGTTAGGCTTTCAGACTGTCTGAAAGACTATTGTTTTTACTAAAATTATTATTAAGCTTTCATATTTCATATGAAAGCTTATTGTTTCTGTTAAGATTATTAAGCTTTCATATTTCATATGAAAGCTTATTGTTTCTGTTAAGATCATTATTATTAAGATTTCATATGAAAGCTTATTGTTTCTGTTAAGATTATTATTAAGCTTTCATATTACATATGAAAGCTTATTGTTTCTGTTAAGATTATTATTGTTATTTTTTTTTTTGTGTTTTGTCCACAAATCGGATTTCTCAGAATCTAACCATAGGATCGTTCTGAAACTTTTACCTATCCCCCCAAAAATGGGTGGTGGCTGTTGATTAAATATATTTTCAAAACGTTTTACGAATCCGAAATCACCGAATTTTACGAAGGAATGCATTTGACCTACAATGCTGTAACTTTGTGACTATTTGACCTATTTTACTAATTCTTTTTTCTTTGAGTATCTTGAAACATTTACTTCAAATCTGCAATTTCGGATTTTGGCATTTCGAAAATTCGTCGCTGTCATTTCGAACCGGAAGTTATTACCAATTTGACAACTTCTTTAATAGTTGTGCGATTTTCGTGAAATTTAGAATGTTAGTAGATCTTGCCAATGCGACTTCAATGATGTCCTTGGAAATTTTCTAAATTATCTCCCCTTGGTGAAATTAAGGATCAAAGTTTTCAAAAAAATCGTCGAAATATAGGTCAGAATGACCTAAAAAAAAATTCGATACTAGACAAGTAATTACTGATTCGTACACAAAATATGGAGTTTGTCGATCGAACCGGAAGTGCCACCATCTTTAAACGTGAAAAATCAAAAAGGCTTTTTTGCTATTTTACTTACAGACTCGGGCGTCATATTTTCGGAATCCTGGAAGGAATGCCTTAAAATCTATCGGATCAGAATTTTGATTTCGGTCACGTGATGGTCACCA